TAGTTACAATACCCACCTAGACCATGATTCCGAGATACAGCCAATGCAAAAGTCGGTTCGGCTTTTTTGAAATTCGCTGGAAATAATTAAAAAATAAAAGACTTGCTCCTTGTTTATGAATTTGAACCTAGAAACCGATACCAGCATAGGTTTCGTGTAACGGCCACTGCTCCACATCGGTCAACAAATAAAATTCATTGTATATATTTGAACCTGACTATGTGCACATACGTCGTTTCCTTTTTTTGTTCGAAAACATTAAAATTACTTGATCATACGCTTCATAAGCTTAACACCGTTTATTGTAACCATATATCGATAGAAATACTGATTTCAGCTTCGATTTCAGGCTAGTGGAGCTTGAACGCGGGTTATGTCAAAGCGGGACGAGGACGACCCGTCCCTGCTGTACATTAGCGAAGGGTAAGATCTTTATTGTCCACTACTTTTTAATTCAGAAGCGAATTGGAGACATTTCTCAGTACATGATTCTTGAAGGAGTTAAATCAGTAGTTGGCATTGTTCCAGCAACAGATCCCTACTCTGGTAGCTTCAGCAATCCATCGAAACTCTGTGTGTGTGTGTGACGATTAGAGCCTCTTTCATCCATCAGTAAAAATCCAGGAAGTCCTGCTCAAGGAGAGTACCCGATTTCTTTTTGGTAAACAATGACAGGGCGTACTGGCGCCTGACAGAATGCAGCTGCAACGGTCAGTAAACAGTATTAAGTCGGCGCTGTTGTTCATCAACTGAAAAACCTCCCTTCTTTGTCGATTTAGTGCAAAAAGCAGCTCGTCGACTGGATTTTGAAATACACCAGTTGATACATCAGTCGATTCCAGCCTAGAAACACTGCCCTTGGGACGAGGACATTTTGTGGGCGATTTGGACTGGCTAACCTTCGACGAAATCACGCCTCCCTCTATCATAGAGTGGCAGAGTGGGTATGGAAGGAAAGAGGGATTTGAATGGGAGTTGCAGGAGGTTTGGGAAGAGGCAGGAAAGTGATAACAATTTGTTGAGAAGCGGATTTAAATGCATAATAAACATCGCTTGAGGTTGGAATTTTTCTCGAGAATTTATAACCGTTTCTTGCCTTCCTGAGCAGGTTAGAATTTAGATTTCTGAATTCTCACTAAAAAATTATTCTCCTCATTTCACACAGTTTCGATAGGGCTCAAGATCTTTCTCTTGTCTACTGAAATTCTTGCCAGAAATCTTATTCCTCACGAAGCCACTCATTTCTCAAGACCTGGGAGATTCCCTGTCAGAAAAGCAAGGGCGGAGGAAGGGATCCGAAGGTATTGCGATTCGCTGATAACTGCTGGGTTTAGGTTAATCACTGAACTTTCGGCCATAGTCCGATTCAACATGTACCGTATTGAAAACTGTGCAGTAGTCCCGATTTGAAGAGAAGAGAAATCTTTATCATCTGGTCTTTTTTCTCGTACCTTTTTACGCTTCGTAGTTCAATTTTGATATAATTTTTAATTTTTTTCTCAACAGGCTTTTGACCTCGCTTTACTCCTCACTTCATCTCGTTGGGTATTTTCTGTTTTTTGAAAGGCATAAGGTCCAAATGCTTACCACAACACGCAATACTACAGGAGCCGTTCGCTGGTGTGCTTCCCTTGTTTAAAGTTCACTGTGAGCACAGTTCAGCAAAGTTTCTCGATTCCAAGCGGAAGAGAAGTTTCCAGAGAGGTTACTGCGACAGTAGTGAAATGTACTCGCTTAGGAAGCCTAGAATCCTTTCCGTTGATGGTCTTTCGTGGTCTCGACTCCGTCATTATCCCGCCTACCCCATCATCTTTACCCATCCCATTGTTACAGCGTTGTTTGCGCTTTTAAGGTGGTCAACGTGGAACAAAACCCTCGGAACAAACGCATTTACTCGAAATCAAACATGGTGGCTGCGAAATGAAGGCAGGAAGGCTTGCCATGAAGTAAATTTACCTTAAGGTTTCTGAAGGTATCGAAAGGGCTTTATTCCCACAGTGGAGGATAGCTCTGGGAAATCAACAAAAAAAAGCTAGGGAACCGAATATGGTGAACCAATTTCTGATGAACGGTAACGGGATGCATCCCCTTCCCTATGAGTGGCAGAGCTGCTGTTGGTGGGCAAGTGTTCCCGTGCTGGAATTTCCCGTACAGCCAGCCGGTCGAGAAGCGCCTCAGTGCAGGGGAAGCGCTTGTTGCATTGGACACACTGCCCAGTCCGCCCCTTTCGGACACTTGAACTGCTCCCGTCCGTCCGGCCGCTAATCCCAACGTTCAGCAGCAGCAGCAGCAGTGCAACGAAGAAAGCAATCTGCTCTCATCACTAAGTGTCTCATCCCCCCAGCGTTCTTCCATTTCAACCTCTTTCCCTCCAGTCAACGGCTATTTGACGACATTTTTATTTGGAAATGTTCCAATAGCATTACAATACTGCTAACGAACGTATGGAATTCAATGCGGGGGGACCTTCTATACAAGGTGCCAGCTACTACTTTACATCAGCAGATATTCGACCAATATCACCACTATCTGATGGAGACGACACTTCGTTTACGGAGACTCGGAGTGAACGAATCTCTGAGGAGACCGTGAAATCGCAAAAACGCCTAGGAAATCAGTACGTTTTTTCCCAAATTCCTCCAACTGGACCTCTAAAATGCATCTATATCTTCAACCACCGGTTTTTCGAGCTTTTTTCTCATTTTCACGGCTAATATTTACTTATTATGGTGTTTCTTCAACTGAAACTTTTATTTCTTTACTTATTCATAGCTACAAGTTGAGCTTATCGAGAACAGCTGAAGGATGTCTGTCTTCTTAACCAACTTGCTATGTCAGGCAATGCATGGTGCCATCCCGATACGCATTAAATTGACTTTTGCCTTTAAAGGGAGACAGGATGCACGGCGCATCCTGAAGTGGCGTTCAACACATTCTCATCGTTTTCCATGTTTATTAATTACAATCAGTGCTTTATACAACATCCTTTTTTCCGTTCATCCACCATTGCGTTGAATGTTGAGGAGTTGATTGTTGTTAATTCGGGAGAGAATCCTCCTACATGGGATCTCTTTAAAAAGGAGCAATAGCGCATAATTCTAGCCTTGTGGGATGTACAAGCTTTGACGTTTCCTGATATTTCAACCCTGAAAACAGCAATAAAATTATTACTATTATATAGAATTAGTTATTAGTAAACAGATAACAACCAGCCTTAGAGCTGAGATAAGGAGCTTTTGAGATCAAATAGTTGATACTGGCGAAATTTCAGGCATTTATATTAACTCATTACTTTGCTAGGGAAAGTTGAAGAAGAGATCAAGCTCTTCTTGACCCCTCCCCTTCGATTAAGAATGCCAGTCCGTGCAGTCAATCCTCTACTCGACACGTTTGCTACAAATGCTTCTTTTATTGCTTCTTTTTTGATAGCTTTCAAATTAGATTTTCTTTGTTCTTTTCCTATTGAATTTGGGTCTTTGTCATGATTTCACGGCATTTTGCTAAAGTTAGGCAAAATGAACAAGCTTTGAGCTTTTAATAGGAATGAAAAATACTTGTGCAGTTGGGTTTTGAAAGGACTTCAAGTGTTTAAGTATCAAGAAAGGGGTTTTGGTTAGAGGTTTCTAGTGAAAATGTAGGGGAAAGGGGTTGGGGAGAGGTGGGGAGCGGAGAATTTGTGATTTGAGCTTTTGTCCTGTTTTTTCTAGGTTTTCCATACCCCAAAACCCCATTAGATAAATGAATAATTACCCAATCATTTAAGTATTTAGACAGGTAGAGAGATTCTTGATTCTTTGGGGAATCTTAAAGATGATTCATATATGTGTGGTATTGTTTACCCAAGACCCGTTCTGACCACAGATCGCCTGATCTTGCATAGCATCCCCTGTTTCTTTGTAACTGGACATGTAGATTTGTTTATTTTGTAAGTGTGAAAATAGAGGTACTACCAAAAGGGGTCCTTTGTTCCCGGATGGGATAAGCATTGAGTGAGCTCGTTGTTAAAGGCACCGTTAACATGATTTTGGGTAATCCAGATTACAATGAAAAACGAAAGACAAGATCGAAACTAG